AGGGGTGGTGACAATCCTGGGGGACCCCTGCTCAGGTGGGAGCTCTGCTGCTCTGTCTCTGACCCCCCTTTCCCCCCAGAATTTCTGCAGCCGGGCAGCACTGGAAGCCCTGGGCTCCTGCCTCAACAACAAGTACTCGGAGGGGTACCCTGGCAAGAGGTAAAGAGGGGGAGCAGGTTCTGGGGGGTGGGAGGGCACCAGTGGCATTGTGGGAAGCTGTGGGGCTGGTGGGGGGGGAAGACCCTCAGTAACCACCTCCCTTCTCCTCCAGGTACTATGGGGGAGCCGAGGTGGTGGACCAGATCGAGCTGCTGTGCGAGCAGCGGGCTCTGGAGGCATTTGACCTGGATCCTGCCCGCTGGGGCGTCAACGTTCAGCCCTACTCAGGGTCTCCAGCCAACTTTGCAGCCTACACGCTGTGGGGCTGGTGGGGGGGGAAGACCCTCAGTAACCACCTCCCTTCTCCTCCAGGTACTATGGGGGAGCCGAGGTGGTGGACCAGATCGAGCTGCTGTGCGAGCAGCGGGCTCTGGAGGCATTTGACCTGGATCCTGCCCGCTGGGGCGTCAACGTTCAGCCCTACTCAGGGTCTCCAGCCAACTTTGCAGCCTACACAGCCCTGCTGCAGCCCCACGACCGCCTGATGGGGCTGGACCTGCCCGATGGGGGCCAGTAGGTAGCGGGGTGGGACAGCCTGGAGCCTGCTGCCTCCTGAGGGGCCTGGCCTGATCCTGCACCTCTGCCTTCTCCTGCAGCCTCACGCACGGGTACATGTCGGACATCAAGAGAATCTCAGCAACATCCATCTTCTTCGAGTCGATGCCCTACAAACTTGATGTGAGCTGAGGGGGCAGGTTCCTGGGGGAAGGGGGGAGCTGCTGGCTGAGTTGTTGATCCCGGTGGTGCCCCTGGGGTGCCCGAGCTGCTCTGCCATCCCCTGCCCTACCCTTCCCGTGTCCTGGTGCCATGGGGTGCTTAGGAGCTGCCTGTGGGTTAGCCACACATGCTGGGGGCAGGGAGGTGCATGTACCTCTGCAAACTGTCTGTCTGTCTGTCCCTCACAGCCAGTCACAGGGCTGATTGACTATGACCAGCTGGAGGTGACAGCACGGCTCTTCCGTCCTCGTCTCGTCATCGCCGGCACCAGCGCGTACGCCCGCCTCATCGACTACGCTCGCATGAAGAAGGTACGAGGTGGCAGCCTCCATCCCAGGTGACAGGAGCTCTCACACCTGTGACAGCTCAAGGACAGTCACACCCCACTCGTGACCCTGGGGACAGGGACAGCCCATGACTCCCTGTGTCCCCAGGTGTGCGAGGAGGTGAAGGCGTACCTGCTGGCAGACATGGCGCACATCAGCGGGCTGGTGCCAGCCAAGGCCATCCCTTTTTACCTGGTCACCAGCACCACGCACAAGACCCTGCGTGGGGCCAGGTGAGGCTGGGTCCTGTCACCCCTTCCCTGGGGACAGGGAGCACGAAGCAGAGGTTGCGTTTCGTGCTCTGGCTGGGGCCACAGTGGAGCGGGAAGGACCTGTGGGAGGGTGGTGGTGATGTTGGCAGTGCCCCGAGGTGCAGGGTGGCCAAGCCCTCTGCCGTGAGGTGATGGTGGGCAGGTGTGAGGAGCGGTGCCAGCTCTGTCTTGCTGCCAGGTCAGGACTGATCTTCTACCGCAAGGGTGTGCGCTCGGTGGATAAGAAGACGGGCAAAGAAACGCTCTACGACCTGGAGGACAGGGTCAACTTTGCTGTCTTCCCCTCCCTGCAAGGGGGACCCCACAACCACGCCATTGCTGCTGTGGCCGTGGCCCTCAAACAGGTCTGTGCCAGGGCAGTGGGTAGGGGCTGGGGG